TGTCAATTAAATTTGTATGCTTCCGGAAATTCAATAGCCCACATTTGAATGATGAAATCTTTGAACTGAATTGTCCATCACATTTGTTATGACCCTCGTGCACGTATGGTCGCTAGCGTTTCATTCAACTTAGTATGTGATTAAGACATAACTCATCTCCAGCGTTAGACATTTGTCTGATTCTTTCTTGTTACTGTATAGAACAAATTCTTGAGATTCAGCCCAACCCAATTTTTTAAATCTTGGTTTTCTAAAGTTCATTTTCAACACACACTTTTATCAACCTTTTAACTACACATTTCATTAACTTTAATCGAAATAATAAAAATATAATGTTTAATTAAACCAAAAAAGGGCTCAATTTGTTCCATTTGTTATTTATACATTACAATCAGTATTATGTATCAAATATGTCCATCAATGCATACCTTATATTGTATTATCTAGCATTATGTATCAAGGTTTAACAAAATTGAATTCTTTACGTTCACCATTTCCATACAAATTCACGTCTTTATTATACTTCCACGAATGAATATGTAATTTTCAAGTGACTTGGCTCCTCCCACCAAGCCAAAATTGTGTCAAGCAGGTAAGCTCATGCTGGAATCGCTCCATTCCAGAGGACGAGCTCTCTATGTGGACAGAGCCAAGTGCAAAAGTTAGTGAGCAGAGCGGACCCATTCAATACCCCTAATTGGGACAAAATAATACAAATGACAATATCTTAACCTACTTTTCTTCCTTAATAATACGATGCTATTCAATCTTCCTGATCAATTGTATATGCCAGTGTACCATTGGAGAAGTAAGATTCCATTCTTGCTTTAGTTTTATATTGGAATGCTGCCTGGCCTGGATGGGAACCATCTTATTGCCTAAGCATCTCAAGCAGCTATATATTGACTTCTAACTGAGAATAGACAGTCCAGTATGGAACTCAAGTTCTAATAATACTGAACCATGTCTGGTACATTTCAATCCTCACAAGAAAATTTAAAAAGTTAAATACTAATAGCTTGTAGACGTTATATCTAGTTTCTAAACAACAATTTACAAGATTGGGAGTCAGTGGTCTGGTTCGGTTCCGGTCCTGTAAAGCCACTAGCTTTAAATAAAACATAAATACAACCTAAATAACTTGAGCGCACTTGCTCGATATTAACATTTAAAAATTTAGATGACAGGAATACTGTTCATGGCAGTAAATATCATGGATGCTGGAACTCTTACTTCAGAATCATTGCCCCCAAATGCATGCCCCCTAAATATCATTGCCCTAAATATCAGTTTATGAGCTGCAGAAGAATACAACACTCAGGAACTTTTGGGTCCAACCCAATCTCTTTCATTTATTTTTTGGGCAACTTACAAAAGTACTCCTAAAATTTGGGATTTCTTGAAAAATCATATGAAAAGTATTTTTGAAGTAAAAAATACTGTGTAAAATTATAAAAAAGTAATACAATATTACTTTTTAAAGTAAAGTGTCACTTTTTTACATATAATGTCACTTTTATTAAAAAAGTGATATTTTTCACTAAAAAAAGTTGAAGAAATTTTACGAAAGTGACAAAGTAAAAAATAAAAATAATGACAAACACTGAAAAATAGTAATAGAAATTCAAAAATAGTGACAAACATTAAAAAAATGTGATGGAAATCTAAAAAATGTAACAAACACTAAAAAAATTGACAAAATTAGAAATTTTGACAAAACACCAATTAAAATATTTAATTCAGTTCAATAAAGTGACTAAACTTTTCATTTAAATCCATTATTATCTCGTGTAGATAATATAACGTGACTTTCCTTGTAAACCAACATTGTTGAGATATTATTAAATTTCAATTCTACAAAAAGAAAGTGACACTAAAAAANAACTTTCACACAATCTTTTACACCCGGGGGTGTAAAAGATTGTGTGAAAGTTTGTGTACACATAGCATTATTCTTAAATAAAACATAAATACAACCTAAATAACTTGAGCGCACTTGCTCGATATTAACATTTAAAAATTTAGATGACAGGAATACAGTTCATGGCAGTAAATATCATGGATGCTGGAACTCTTCAGAATCATTGCCCCCAAATGCATGCCCCCTAAATATCATTGCCCTAAATATCAGTTTCTGAGCTGCAGAAGAATACGACACTCAGGAACTTTTGGGTCCAACCCAATCTCTTTCATCCTTTTTTGGGCAACTTACAAAAGTACCCTTAAAATTTGAGGTTTTTTGAAAAATCATATGAAAAGTATTTTTGAAGTATTTTAAAAATATTGTGTAAAATTATAAAAAGGTGACATAATATTACTTTTTAAAGTAAAGTGTCACTTTTTACATATAATGGTCACTTTTATTAAAAAAATGATATTTTTCACTAAAAAAAAGTTGAAGAAATTTTACGTAAGTGACAAAGTAAAAAAAATAAAAATAAAAATATGACACACTAAAAAATAGTAACAAAAATTAAAAAATAGTGACAACCATTAAAAAAAATGTGATGGAAATATAAAAAATGTAACAAACGCTAAAAAAATGACAAAAATTAGAAATTTTGACAAAACACCAATTAAAATATTTAAATCAGTTCAATAAAGTGACTAAACTTTTCATTTAAATCCATTATTATCTCGTGAAGATAATTTAACGTGACATTCCTTGTAAACCAACATTGTTGAGATATTATTAAATTTCAATTCTACAAAAAGAAAGTGACACTAAAAAATAGTAGCAAAAACTTAAAAAATGATAGAAATTAAAAAAAAAAAAAGTGACAAATCCTCAAAAAAGTGATAGAAAAAAAAGTGACAATCAAAAAAGTTATATAAATTCAAAACAAGTGACATATGTTCAAAAAAGTTACAAATTCAAAAAAGTTACAAAAAAAAAAAAAA